TATATATATATATATATATATATATATACATATATATATATATATATTAATAAATCTGTTTAGCTTTGTGCAGGGGCATAAGTCCATCCTTGTCACAGCAAGAGAGGCTTGAGAGACTATTGGAGGCTTCAATGAAGGTAAGGAAAGCCATTTAGGCTAGCTGTGGTACTGCAGTTTTTAGCTGTGGTACTGCAGTTTTTCGCTGTGGTACTGCAGTTTTCACTAAATTGTAAACAGACTGAAGTTAAAAAAAAAAAAAAAAAACTATGATGCTCTAATTCTTAATGTGCCAGCTAATAATTTGAAAAAGTCATGCACTAAACAGAAGAAAAAGAAATCTGTTAATAAATTACAAGACAATTGTATATTGACATTAGAAAAAAGTTATAAATATTTAATACCAGAGTTCTGTTAAAATAAATCAAGTTTTTATCAAGTTATAAACATTCAAATATAGACCAAATGACATAAATATAATAGTTTCTCACACCTGTTGTGTACAAATGGTGAACAAAATGCACTAAATATATTGCAGCTATAATAGTTTGTTTTAACCACATATTTTTGTTGTTTTTCTATTTTGACTAGTTGGCATTGGAAAAGACTCAAAATTTACTCCAGTCAGTTCCAGGAACTTCACTTGAATCTTTTCAAAAACAAGGTAAGCAATCCATTTGCTTCACAATCCATGAGCTTTTCATTTCAGCTGACTGGTCTTCAAATAGATATTTAAGATGGTCTCTGGATTTTGTAGTTGAGCACATCCAGACAAAGTGGAGTTGTCTGGCCAAAGACGTACACAATGAGCTACATAAACTCCCCTCCAGTACACTCAGGTAATGTAGCTAATTGTTTTATGCATTCTGTTCTTGTGAAATGTTTTATGCATATTATTATTTAACATTGCAATTATATCTCTATTTCTGTTTCAAGTTCCAGTGAGCCCACAGTGGAAAGAGCCATAGAACATGTTCAGAGAACTATCAACAGGCATGTAGTTCTTTTTAAATCTCCTTTCCTCACATATCCTTTTATATTGG